TCTCTCTCTCTCTCTCTCTCTCTCTCTCTCTCTCTCTCTCTCTCTCTCTCTGGATTCTTCTCCCCACCCCGCCTGCCCCCTTGTGCAACACCTCATCAGCAAAAGCAAAGAACCAGAGAGCCAGCCTGTTTCCAGGTAGACATGCGGGTTAGGGGCAGAGTTAAAGGAGGATGATCCAGGGATGCAGTTGATGGGCAGCCCTTGGTGTCTTGAGACATTCTGGCCACCAGGCCTTTTAGGAGACTGTCCACCATGAACGCCGACCCCTCCCCCCCATCCCCAAGATAGGAAGAAACTGGTCTGCCCCTTCTGCTCCCTGGCAGGCCGTAGGACGCTAGTGCTCAGATGCTCGGTGCCTAGGACGAGCCCTCTTAACTTTCATCTCCTGCTCCCCGCCCCCAGCCCCCAGCACATTCCTGCCTGACAGCTCTGGCTTGTACCTGCCTCACTGCTGCCCACCTTGTTTCAATCAAGTAGGGGGCAGGGATGCCGAGCAAGCGCTTCCTGCACTTGTGAGGGGTGGACGTCGGGAGGAAGGGGAGGCTGGAGCTTCCGCTTAATGCTCCTGCTGAACCCCTGTGAGGTGGCTGAGGCCTTCCCTCAGGCCTTTGCTACCTGAGTCTGGTGTTCTTCTAGGCTAGTAACCCTCTTACCACCCATGCCTCCCTCAACAGAGACTTGTGCTGTCAACAATGGAGGCTGTGACAGTAAATGCCACGATGCAGCGACCGGTGTCCACTGCAGCTGCCCTGTGGGTTTCATGTTGCAGCCAGATAGAAAGACCTGCAAAGGTGAGACCTCAGAGGGAACAGGGACATGGGAGACCTCTCCAAAGGGGGATGAGAGAGAGGTCCTATGTGGCCACATCGCTCTAACACCCTTCTTACAAAAAACCCTGGGACAGAGCTAAGGGTGTCTCCTGTCAGCCTTTCCCACCTCAGTTCAAAGGGCACAGAAGTTCAGATGCCACTCTGCTGCCTCCTGGCCTGATTTCCCTTGTTCCCACTCTCACCCCTGTCCCTGTACTGGGGAGAAGGATCCCGACCCCGGAGGGACAGCTGAGCCTGGCTCTGTATGCCTGAGCCATGGGCCGTTGAACTTTTATACCTGCGTCCCCAGATCTTCCCGGTGGGTCTGGGATAATCTGTCCTAGGAAATGTTAGAAGTGTTCAGGGCCTGGCTCGGTCCTCCTGCTGTGGTGCCAGGCCTCCTCCACTGAACCTGGCTCCTAGGTGTGCAGCAGAGACGGATGAGTTGTAATTCATGAGAAGAATCTGCCCTGTGGGAACCGTTTGGCTTAGCTCTCTGACTTACCCATTCTATCTCCCCTCCTGCCAGTTAGCTGGGATCTGGGGGGGGTGAGAAGGAAAGGGGACGGGGAGCCATCTTACAAATGCTGACTCAACACGTCCATGTCCTCTGGCGGGGAGGAGTGGGGACTGAGTCGAGCTGGGCTCCTTCTTTGTGTCTTTTGGCCCAACTGCTGCAGAAGGGGGGGAGGCTGGGGCAGCAGAAGGGGGAGCCTGGGGCAGCAGGTCAGCCAGCCACAGTTGAGAGGTTTCCTGCCGAGAAGGGCTGTTGACAGGTAGGCCAAGAGTGAAGTCCCTGCCCCTCCCCTCTGCAAGGGGTGAGTAGCCTGGGTCCTGTCTGCCACCAGCTTGGGGAACTTGACCTCAGGAAGGAAGCTGCCCACCCCCCTTTCCCTTTAGTACCAAAAGCTGCCAGGCTCTGAGCCTCTCCAGACTGCACCAGTCCAGTCCCCTGCCTGGCCGTCTCTCTCCCTCTCTCTTAGAAGCCCTCTCTACCTAGACTCTTCAGGCTAGCCCCTCCGCCCTGAAGGCTGCCCCTTTATAGCAGGTCTCTGCAGGCTCCACATGACCGAGGCCCCCAGCCTTTGTGACAGGAGAGCAGAGCCCTCCCTACAGACTTGGGAATGGCTGTCAGTGGGAGAGTAGGGGACGTGGACCAGCCCGAAGCTCACTGGGCCACCTGCTCCCATAACTCTGGACGGTTGTCCCCTGTTGGCTTAGGTGGTTCTTGGACTCAGCTTCAGAAGAGATGGTATTATTAATGGCCAGATATCCCAAACAGGGAAGCCATGGAGACAGAAGGTGACAGCCAAGTTAAAAGGGACAGGCCAGGGCCCTCCTTGATTTTCCTTGTCTCTGGGAGGAAGAGAAGCTGTCTTCTTTGCCCTAGCCTTCAATATTGTCCTTCGTTCTCTTCTGTCTGCTCCCCAGACATAGACGAGTGTCGCTTAAACAACGGGGGCTGTGACCACATCTGCCGCAACACAGTGGGCAGCTTTGAATGCAGCTGCAAGAAGGGCTACAAGCTTCTCATCAACGAAAGGAGCTGCCAGGGTGAGCAGGCCCGGGCCCAGGGAGAGCTTCAGGGATGCCAAAGTCCAAGCAACCTATGAGACACAGGAGTGTCTCTATGGGCAGGGCTATGCTGCAGACAGACAACGGTAGTCCTTCCTCCCTGCAGGCCAGCTCCATGCTGAAGCCCACGGCTGCCAAGGGGTGAAAGAGCTTTCCCCACAGTCTAGATTTCCCCAAGTGTGGCCTCCTGCAGCTAGGTTCCCCCTGCCATGGCATGCCCCACAGGTTCTAGACTCTGACAAAAATCCCATGCTGGGCCATGGTGGTGCACCTCTAATCCCTGCACTTGGGAGGCAGAGACAGGTGGATCTCTGTCAGTTCGAGGCTAGCCTGGTCTACAGAGTGAGTTCCAGGATGGCTGAGACTACAAAGAGAAACCCTGTGGTGGAAAAAAACAAAAAACAAAAACAACAACAACAAAACAACAACACAAAAACAAAAACAAAAAAACCAAACAAACAAAAACCCAAAACCCCAGACAAAGGGCACAGAGGGAGTTGTCTGTGCTCAGCCCCAGATCTGGAGTTAGTCCGGGGTCTTTCAGCAGCAGAGTCCTTTGCCTGAGCATGGGTCAGGTGCCCCGAGACAGACTCAGTGGTTCGAATCCTTGCTGTTCCAGATATAGATGAGTGCTCCTTTGACCGGACCTGTGACCACATGTGTGTCAACACCCCAGGAAGCTTCCAGTGTCTCTGTCATCGAGGTTACCTTCTGTATGGTGTCACTCATTGTGGGGGTAAGCCAGTAAGCTCACACCTTCCTTCCCAGTTGCCCCAGCCCCTTGCCTCTTCACACTCCAAATGTCTGTGCTTATAATGATAAACCCTTGGGTGCATATATCATGTCTACGTCCAACAAGATAAAATAAAGGCAGCTTCCAAAAGCCAGCCGGGAGACAGGGTACCAGAGAACAGCATCCTGGCAGCAAGATGTTGTTTGAGGGTTTCACGTATCCCTGGATGGCTGTGAGCACACACGCAGCCGGAGGTGACCCTGAACTCCGGTCCTCCTGCCTGCACTTGTCAAGGGTTGCGACTGCAGGTAGCACACCCCCATGCCAGACTCTGCCTCCTAATTCTATCCTGAATTCCCTTCGCTGTCCCCAGACACACACACACACACACACACACACACACACACACACACACACACACCAGTCTCTAGCCCAATGAGAGGGTAAGAGAGGAAGGCTCTGAAACCTTGGTCTGGTTGGATTGGCCCCTGCTCAGCGGACACTGACTGGGGACGTAGAGAAGGGGAGAAGTCTGAGCTCTTCACGGCCCAGAGAACCCTGTGATGTGTCTGTGGGAATGTTAACGTGAGACCTACCTGCCTCACAGACTTGTAGATACACAGTAATCTCTCTACAAGGTACTCTCCGTGTATAACGCAGCCCCTCGCTCACAGCCCAGTCCCTGCCTCACTCCTCCTCCACCACTGGCGGTCTGATTTCTGACTCCTCCCACAGATGTGGATGAGTGCAGTATCAATAAGGGAGGCTGCCGCTTTGGCTGCATCAACACCCCTGGCAGCTATCAATGTACCTGCCCGGCAGGCCAGGGCCGCCTTCACTGGAATGGAAAGGACTGCACAGGTGTGTGGCGCCCTCTGCTGGACAGACATGGCAATGCTGTTGAGGGGGAGAAGGGTGGGGAAGGCAGCCAGCTTGGTTTGGCAAGACATTTCTGGTTTAAAATGTGCTCGGTCTCCTTGGGCATGAAGAGTCTCTTTTCCGCATTAGCCGTCTGAGGGCAGGTACACAAGGCACGCGCCATATTCTCAGACCGTGTTCCCTTCCTAGAGCCGGTGAAGTGTCAGAGCAGCCCTGGAGCCTCAAAAGCCATGCTCAGCTGCAATCGCTCGGGCAAGAAGGACACCTGTGCCCTGACCTGTCCCTCCCGGGCCCGGTTCTTGCCAGGTATATGGGAGGGACGGGGCTTTGGGGAGAAGGGAAGGCAGACTGGCTGTTGGCAGCTCCCCTGTCCCCCGGGGTTCCTCTAGCCACTGGGGGTAAAAGGCGGGTCAGAGCTGTGATAGCCCCTTCTCTCAGAGTCGGAGACCGGGTTCACAGTGAGCTGTGGCACCCCGAGCCCCAAAGCTGCAGCCCGAGTCACCCACCCTGGGAACAGCACCGCCTCCGGCTCCTGCCATGGTGAGCACCTGCCCAGACGCCCTCCTCTCTTCCCTGACATCACAGCTTTCCTCATCCCCAGCCTGACTCTCCTCTTGTGCTCCTCGTAACTCTCTAGCTTTGCCACCTAGCTCTCACCTGTTACCCTCCTGTCTGTCCGTGGCTTGCCCGGTCCTGCTCCCCAGCTAAACCTTACTGCTTAGCTTGGAGCCGGCTTCCACAGCAGGCCACCCCCAGGCCCGAGCCGTGCTGAGCTGCTCTCGCCCCTCTAGAGGCCGCAGTGCTGCCCGTCAAGCAGAGGGCCTCCTTCAAGATCAAGGATGCCAAATGTCGCCTGCATCTGCGGAACAGAGGCAAAGCAGAGGAAGCCGGCCGAGTCCCGGGGCCAGGTCCGGACCTTCCTCCCTTGGCTTTCACCAAACTCTCCTGCCTCTCAGCCCCCTGCCTCCTCCTGTCAGCGGGTCACCTGTACCCTGAGCTGTGGACAGATATGGGGGAAGCTGTTGTAGGCTAAGGTCCAGGAAGTTCCCTCCCCCGTCATTCCCTCCCAACGAGTGAACTAGGGAGGAGAGGACAGTGAGAGGCAGAGGGGGCTCAGGACTGTCTGGGGTGGGCGGAGAAGTGAGAGCCAGGAGGGAGAACTCGGCTACAGTCTGAGGTTGACAAGGCCTCTGTTTCTAGGTGGTGCCCCCTGCTCTGACTGCCAGGTCACCTTCATCCACCTGAAGTGTGACTCCTCTCGGAAGGGCAAGGGCAGACGGGCCCGGACCCCTCCAGGCAAGGAGGTTACCCGGCTCACCCTGGAATTAGAAGCTGAGGTCAGAGCAGAAGAAACCACAGGTGGGCCTAGGGACACTGTTGGGTGGAGGGACAAAGAGGAGGGCACACAGAGTGGATCCAAAAGAGAGAGAGGCCGAGGGAAGGGGGCACCTGGACTCTGGGCCTGTGTGACAGGGAGCAGCAAACTCCAGGGCTGCCCTGGCCGCTGTCTTCGGCTCTGACCTTTCTCTCCTCGCTCTCTGACTCACACGACCAGCTGGCTGTGGGCTGCCTTGCCTCCGACAACGGATGGAACGAAGGCTGAAAGGCTCCCTGAAGATGCTCAGAAAGTCCATCAACCAGGACCGCTTCCTGCTGCGTCTGGCAGGCCTTGACTATGAGCTAGCCCACAAACCAGGCCTGGCAGCTGGGGACCGAGCAGAGCTGGTGGAGGCCTGCCGCCCCGGGCAGCACCGAGCAGGCACCAAGTGTGGTAAGGAAGCCTGCCGGGAGGGAAGGGCGTGGGGCGTGGGGGAGGCCCGACTGGGCCCTGGCTCAGAGCAGAGCAGGACCCTTTGCCTCAGGTGAAGCTCTCAAAACAGGAGGTAGTGAAGACCCTACTGCCCACCGGCCTCCTTGCCCTGGTCCCAGGGAAATCTAGGACATCAGGCAGGGCCAGCAGGTCTGCACACAGATTCGACATCCCTATCTCTCCGAGCAAGATTCAGTTCACTCCCTAACACATCTCCCATGTCCGGAGGAGCGGGAAGGGGCTAGGCCTGGGTGGTGGGAGATGGGGTGGCTAGCGCGGCCGACTCTCCCTCAGTCAGCTGCCCGCAGGGAACGTATTACCACGGCCAGACGGAGCAGTGTGTGCCATGCCCAGCGGGCACCTTCCAGGAGAGGGAAGGGCAGCTCTCCTGCGACCTTTGCCCTGGGAGTGATGCCCACGGGCCTCTTGGAGCCACCAACGTCACCACGTGTGCAGGTGCCAGGGGAGTGGACAACACAGGAAGGGCTAGGGTGGGCACCGGGATGCCCATGGGCACGGGGTTTCCCAAAGGGCAGGCCCAGGCTCCAGGCCAGACTCCTAGTTGATGTCCTGTTTGTATGCCTCTGTTCCCCAAGACTGGGTGACCCCATGTAGTGACTCAGGACCAACCCCGTCAGAGTTGGGCCCTCGCTTTGTTGCAGGTCAGTGCTCACCTGGTCAACATTCAGGAGATGGGTTTAAGCCCTGCCAGCCATGCCCACGCGGCACCTATCAGCCTGAAGCCGGCCGGACCCTGTGCTTCCCCTGTGGTGGAGGGCTCACTACCAAGCACGAAGGGGCGGTCTCCTTCCAGGACTGTGACACCAAAGGTGAGCAGGTTATTTACTCCCCAGGGCCTTCCTCAGATGTCCCCCACAAATCTCCAAGCCCCTCTACAGGCCTGAATAAGTTATCCTACCATCTTTCCCCGAAAGGGAAGACCCAACTGCCTAACTATACATGGTCTTATTCTCTGAGTCGCCCTTTGGGCCAGGCCTGGGGATACAAAGTGACTAACCGCTCCCCCTGCCCCGTCCCTGTCCAGAGTACATTGCAGACTGGTTGGCCATTCCCCTCCATCCCCCTAGTAAGCTCCTGTATCAGTCTGACACTGCTCAGGGCCTGCAGGAAGAGGAGGGTGGTGTAGCCAGTCACTCTGGAAAGCCTCTCTTCCCTGGCCTTAGACTATGGCTGGGAAAGGGAGGGACTCTGGAAGGAACTTGGGAGTCTTTGATGTCTGGGTTCTTCATGACAAATGTGCCTGCCTATCCACGGCCCAGATGCCCACTTTCCTACCATCTTAGCTTCTGCCCTCCTCCCTCTTGCCTGTAGTCCAGTGCTCCCCGGGCCACTACTACAACACCAGCATCCATCGCTGTATCCGCTGTGCCGTGGGCTCCTACCAGCCAGACTTCCGTCAGAACTTCTGCACCCGCTGCCCAGGAAATACAAGCACTGACTTTGATGGCTCTACCAGCGTGGCCCAGTGCAAGAGTACGTGGCAGGCCAGGCTATGGGGAGTGGAGAGAGATCTTGATGCCATGTGCGTGGAGAAAGGGTGGGCGATGGTAGACTAGCGGGGAGCAGGGCTGGTGAGCAGGTGGGCAGGCAGGCAGCCAAGGTCCCATAGGCCAGCTGTCAGGGTGAGGCCTGTAGCATCTCTTCAGATACTGGAAGGGCAAGGAGGACAGTGGACCCAGAACCCCGAAGAGCAGACGGTGGCCTAGCATGGTTCACCATCTATGCCTGTCCTCCATCTTCAAGCTCTTCAGCCTGCTCAGCATGGCCCCCGCTGACCGTCCGTCTCTCTCTTGCTCTCTCCACTGGGGTGTGGCCGCAGACCGGCAGTGTGGCGGGGAGCTAGGCGAGTTCACCGGCTACATCGAGTCTCCCAACTACCCGGGCAACTACCCGGCCGGTGTGGAGTGCATCTGGAACATCAACCCCCCACCCAAGCGCAAGATCCTCATCGTGGTCCCCGAGATCTTCCTGCCATCCGAGGACGAGTGTGGGGACGTCCTGGTCATGAGGAAGAACTGTGGGTGCCTGCAGAGCTGACTGGGGGGTGGGCAGTGGGAATCTGGTGGGGGAAGAGAAAGAGCTGAGGCAGTGGAGTTGGGAACCAATGAGAGCAGATCCAAGAGGAGCCTTGGGGGCTAGAAGCCAGCACAGGACACGTGGGACAGGATGGGTGGACAGCAGTGAAGAAGCCAGTCCTGGGCTGGGGTGCCCGTGCTGTTGCCTGATTAACTCTAACCCTAGCCTTTCTGCTGCTCTCACTCGTAAAGGTTGGCTTTAATGCATATGCAATCATGCAATAGTCGGCCTTGCAGACTGGACAGTGGTAGGAGGGTGTGCAGCTAGCTGTGTGTTTGCGGGCGAGCCTCTATCAGAGTGCCCTCACAGCCCCACTGCTCTCCTGACCTGACGCTTGCCTTACCAGCCTCCCCATCCTCCATCACCACCTACGAGACCTGCCAGACCTATGAGCGGCCCATTGCCTTCACGGCCCGTTCCAGGAAACTCTGGATCAACTTCAAGACCAGTGAGGCCAACAGCGCTCGAGGCTTCCAGATTCCCTATGTGACCTACGATGGTGAGCAAGGGCAGGAGAGGTGGAGAGGTGGGCGGGTCTCGTGAGGGAACCAGCAGAGCGGAGTTCCCACGCTCAGCCCCCACCCTGTTGACTTCACAGAGGACTATGAGCAGCTGGTGGAAGACATAGTGCGGGATGGCCGGCTCTACGCCTCTGAGAACCACCAGGAGATCCTAAAGGCAAGTGGACATTCACTGCGGTGCTGACGTAAATGGGCGTGCACCAGTGTGAGGGTGAATTGCTAAGTGCCAGAATGCCTTTCTGCTCCTGGCTCTGTGGGGTGTGCGCTTCCTTCACTGCCGATTTCCAGATGAGAGAGGTAAAGAGCTTGCCCCATGAGAGGCCTGGGCTCTGAACCCAGCCCACAGAACCAGTGTCGGCATGCTGTGTCACCCCTAGGGGAGGATCACCCCTAGGGGAGGACAGGAAACACCCTGTGCCTTGTCCATCATGAGACACAGAGAGGGTAAACTGTACAACCATGTGTTGTTTACTTTTTTGAGATAGAGTCTTAATAGTCCAGGCTGGCCTTGAACTCTGGGTTCCCCTGTGTCCAGCTCCTAAGTGCTGGGTGCGATTACAGGCCCAGAGGAAAAGAAACATTTCTAACGTTGAAGAACAAACATAACCCTGGGTCTGTGGATCGAGATCTGAGTCTCGCCTGGCATGGTGGTGCTTACCTTTGACCCCACACTTGGGAGGCCCAGGTGGAGGGGGGGGGTCTCTAAATTTAAGGCCAGTCTGGTCTGTATGTGACGTTCTAGGACAGCCAGGGATACACACTGAGATCCTTCCAACTATTTATTTTTATTTCACTGTTTTTAATTATGGCTATTTGTACAGATATGTGCGTGGGAAGGCTAGGATGCCAGATATGTCAGATGCCCCTGGGGATGGGGTTGCAGGCAGTGTGAGCCACTTGATATAGGTGCTGGGACCCAAACTCACATCCTTTGCAAGAACAGTATATGCTCTTAACCTCTGAGCTGTCTCTCCAGCCCTGAGCCATTGTTTCAAGTCACGTGTATCTGGGTGTGATGGTGCACACATACGGTCCCGACTACTCAGGAGCTGAAGGGAAGGATCACGTGAGCCCAAGAGTTAAGAAAACAGCCTGGGTAACATGCTGGACTCCATCTCAGACAGCAAATCAAACGCACTGTGTATCTCACAGGGTAGTGCAACCACTCTGGAGCTGGTGCCGCACACCTTTGACCTCAGTACTTGGGAGGCAGAGGCAGGAGGATCTCTGTGAGTTCTAGGTCAGCTTCAGGCCAGCCCTAGCCACACAGTGAGACTGTCTCAAAACAAGGACAGTACAGTACAGTTGTCTTGATTAGAGTGGAATTAAGAGGCTGGAAGCCCCAACTATCTTAGAACTCTTTGTGTGCAACCTAGAAGCCAGGAGATTCATTGTTAGTTTGGTTGGGTCTCTGAGGGCACAGGGGTTGTGTGTGTGTGTGTGTGTCTGTCTGTCTGTCTGGGGAATCAAACTGAGCTTGTCAGGCTCGGTGGTAGGGGCCTTTCCTGATGAGTCACCTCAGCAGCCCCTAGAGAGGAGTTTGAGGGCACAGTGCCTGGTACCGTAGAGAGGCGGGCTGGAGAGGCCTATGAGGAAAGGTTTGAAAGGAGTGGTTGGATGACTAAGGAATCGTGCGGGTCAGTGAGCATGGCAGTAGCGTGGTGTATCTGGACACTGGGACTGCTGTCACTCCACAGGGGAGGAAGAGGAGACGGAAGCAGGACACAAATGACACAGCAGCTAGCATGACCTGACTCTGACAGTGAGTGAGGAAAGCAACAGGCTGGAGTGTGTTCAGTGGCAGAGAAATGTTTGTAGGCACAAGGCCCTGGTGTTGGATCCTAATTACTGTCATCATTATAAAGAGAATAAACTTTCATCAGACATGATAGCACCTGCTTGTGGGCCCAGCCACAGGAGCGGCTCAAAGGCAAGGATCACCCAAGATAACAGGACCTCATCTCAGGAAATGGAAACCAGAGAACAGAAAGGGTGTCCCAAACATCAAGAAGACTCATTAAACACCCCACTGAGGCTGGTGCGAGGAGGAAAATCTGTAGTGGGCCAAGGGAAGAAATGTGGAGATTGAGCAAAGGCCTACTGGCTCACACCTCTGAGCCTAGTTATTCAAAAGGCTGAGGCAGGAGGATGGCATGGTGTACGTCATTTGGAGCTACAAAGCAAGTTTAAGGCCAGTTTGAGCAACTTAGTGAGACACTATCTCAAGTAGCAAGAATGTTGAGAATACAGCTCGATTCAAGAATCGCTATTGCAGAAGACAAGAATCTAATAGAACTTGATTATAGCAACAACAGAATGACTAACATTAGAACTGCCTCGGGGCTTGAGACTTGGCTCAGCAGCTAAGAACATTTGTTACTTCCTGCCGAGGAGCCAGGTTCAGTTCCTGGCACTCACACAGTGGCTCATCACCATCCATAACTCCAGTTCCAGGGTATCTAACTCACTTCTGACCTCCTCAAGCACACACACACACACACACACACACACACACACACACACAGGTGAAATGCATATAAAATAAGTAAATCTAGGAGGAAAAAGAAGAATACGAGGCTAGTGTGTGTGAGGGCCTGGGTTCAACCCTTAGTATCATATAAACAAAGGAAAGGAATAGACCAGCCTGGGACTAGTCCAGGTGAGAGAGTACAGTGGCTTCACCCTGTGTGGCAGCTGTGGGGATAGCAAGCTGGCCAGACACTGGGCGTATACTGAAGGTAGAGCCAACAGAGAGGACAGGGTGTCAAGGATGCCTCCACAGGCTGGGCCTGAGCAGCAGAGGGCTAGACCTGTCACTAACTGAGCTGCGGGGTTCTAAAGGAGCAGACTACAGGAACAGGGGGCCAGGGCTCACCTCTGGGCCTGTTCAGTGTGAGCCTCTTTTAGACAGGAAGGGGGCAGCTGAGTACGCCTCTCCCCCACATGCCACTGAAGCTGCCACCTGCTGTCTTCTGCAGGACAAGAAGCTTATCAAGGCCTTCTTCGAGGTGCTGGCCCACCCCCAAAACTACTTCAAGTACACAGAGAAGCACAAGGAGATGCTGCCGAAGTCCTTCATCAAGTTACTGCGCTCCAAAGTCTCCAGCTTCCTGCGGCCTTACAAATAGTGCCTGTGGGCCCCAGACCCCGGTCTCAGAGCTCCCACCTCCCTGGCCCTTAGAGCCGGCACCCCAACCTCAGACAAAAAACTGTCCTCTCCTCTTGGAGGAGAAATCTCACCACACCAGCCACTGTCCCCTTCCACCTTTCTGGTTACCTTGTCTTCTTTCTGTCTCTCTCCTGGAAGTCACTCAGTGCTGTCTCTGTTCCCCCCAGAGGTGAAGGAATAGACACCCTCTATTCCTCTACCATCATAGTGTGGTGCCTTGCTAGCCAGGAGCCAAAACACCCCCCCATTGGCCCCCGTGCTCTCCATAGTGACTCTTCACAGCCCAGAGTCCTGCCAAAGAAGCCTTTGCCATAGCAGCCTTATGCCCAGGCCAGGCTGCTGGGCACACAGTTTGAGCCCTGGGGTGCCCACACAGTTGGCGTTCTCACCTGTAGAGCTGGCTGTCATCTGCCTGGGGCTAACTCCATAGGGTTTACAAGTGATGTGATCCATACCGCTGGGCAGGCAAACCCCTGCGGGGTAAGGGAGAGCAGCAGGCAGGGGCCCCTGGACATACAAAGCTCTCAGATTGCTCTGCAGGACAGAAAGCAAGCTTTTAAGACATTGCCCAAAACAGAAAGAAAAAAATGTGTCACCTAAAGGAGCTTCCTACAGAACAAGTGGAAGCCGACCTCAAACACTAACCCTTCTCTTGCCAGTCCTCCCTGCCTAGCTGTGCCCTCACCCTATCCAAGGGCTCCCTGGGGGAGGCCTATCCCCCCCCCCAGTGCTGTCCTTAGAGAAGCCTGGCTGCTGACCCTCCCAGCCTAAATCCTGCTCCTCCGCTGTGTTTCCCTTGCAGCCCCAGGCGGCTTGTGGGCGCCACCTAAGAGAACCCCACTCCCGCAGCCTGGAGCTGCAACCTCTAGCCTCAGGCTGTGGGCATGGGAGGAGTGTGTGAGCGCCCTTGGCAAGCTGCCGGTCCACCCTCTCCACGCCTGACAAGTGCAATCATTTTGAGTCTTTCTATGTGTCTAGAGGGAGGGGGGTTGTTTTTTGTTTGTTTCTTTTTCCTCTTAGAATAACCTATTTATAGCTGCCCAAGACAGAAAGGTTTGTGAGTGCGTTGGGGGCGGAGGAACAGCAGTTTGACTGTCAGGGAGCCCTGAGCCCTGGAGCACCTCATCTGCCTCTGCCCTCCCTGAAGCCACCCAGAACGTACGGCAATCCCTCAGAGGCGCCCAAAGCATAGGAGACTAACTAGCTCTGGTAACTTGACAGGGCAGGAGGAAGAGGCTTCCTGACTGAGCCGATCCTGCCTGCCTTGTGTCTCTCTGTGGAGTCATGGTTACAGATGCAGATGGAATTGGTCAGGAATCTTCTGCAAGTAGAGACAACCTCTGTCTTTCCTGCCTTCATGCTCTCCTGACATGACATGGAAGGGGATCGGGATAAACTCTAGAGATGGCCAGCGCAGGCTCCCAAGGCTTCCAGAGAAGGCTGGAGCAGCCTAGAATTGGACTGTTATCCATGTATGAAGCTCGCAAAGGACAAGAACCAGACATGAGCCTGACACTGGCCACCTGCCCCTTGGAGCTGACTTCAAGCCTGTTTCAACTACTGTTTTTCAAAAGGAAGAATGGAGTCTGTGCCCAGGCCCAGGCTCTGCCTATGCTCCACCCGTAACCCAGTTGCTGCCTGTAAAGTCTCCAATTGTCCCTTCTCGTTCCCCCCAGGCCGTAGTCCTGGACAGCCACCCACGACTCCTCAGGTCCCACTCTAGGTAACTGCCAAGAGATTTGACTACCGAATAGTCTGATCCCCACACACACCAGCCAACAGCAGACAAAGCTAGCTTCCTGGATGTGTTAGTCAACACGGTGGGGGTGAAGTGGAGGTCAGAGATGTATTACAAAGCTGTTGAATGGCTTCATACAATGAATGCACATTTAGTGGGGATCTCCGTGCTTCCCCAAAAGTGCCACAGAACAGCCTGAATGGAGCCTGACCATCTAGAAGCACGGATAACTGCCAAGTCTGCTCTCCAGGCCGGCCGTACAGCCAGCTCCTGGAAAGCCACACCATAAGATGCCTCCCAGCGTCTGCCTCTAGGGTATGGCTTCTTTGCTCTCCCTCCCCAGCTCACCAGACACGGCGCGGACACTCTAACCGTTTATTCTATGGCTGACGGGGCCATACGTGAGAGCCATCGAATGGAGAGAGCAGGTCACTAGACTGGGCTGATAACACGATGGACGGAGATCAAACACGACTTGCTACTGTCAACCAAGTTGGCAGCGAGGAATCCAGGCAGAGCTGTTGTGGAACTTACAGGGGATCCTGGTCCTGAGGAGCCTCACTCTGGGGCCTGTGTGGATTGAGGGAGGAGTTAAGAACTCAGGGACTTTCTAGGACTGCACAGGTTGGACGTGAGAGGTTCCAGAAGGAAGTGGGGGGATGGGAAGATGGTGTGAACAGGAACCCTTCGTGAACTGACCCAGAAGCTTCTCTGTGGGCTGTGGTGCCCACACATAACCATTTGAGGTCACGTAACCATGGCACCTCATCCATCCTAGCACAAGACCTGCCCTGAACTGAGTCCCAGAGTGGGATGCCACTTCCACGAGTGCTCCAAGCACCGAGTGACACGTCAGGCAGGCACCTAAAGCCTCAGCAGCACCTCGATGCCTCTTTAGCCTTCTATCTCTGTGTCCTCAGCCCAGCCAATCCCCAAGCCTGAGGGAAATAGGAGAAAACCCAACCAGAGCCTGGATGTTAGGTGCCCACCCTATGCCTTCCGTGATCCTTTGAGGACTGCCACTGGGTCTCGATACACTCATTTCCCCAGGGATGTGGAGGTGGGGAAGACAGGTTTATTGCTTCAAGTTCAGCGGTACAGTCTGGGCTCTGGCTGCCAGGGGTCTTTGTGAATCTGTGAAGTGTTCTCCATGTGCCGTGTCTGAGGCGACTCTTAACAGGAGTAGGAAGTTGGATCTCAGTATATAAGAAAAAGCTATAGCACATTTGAGGTGCTGTGCTGCTGAGCTTCAGAGCAGGGGGAGCAGAGGCTACATGTAACCGACCCCAAGCAGAGCATGGTACCCCGCCTGGTTCCTTTCTCTGGCAGACACCACGAAGGAAACCTTTACATCGGACCTGTCTCAAAGCTGTCACACTCTGTCTTTCCGCCATTGTTTGGACTAGGAATCCTTTGAGAACTGGAAGGATTAGAAGCCCACGTCCTGCGATCGGCTTACCAAGACAAAACAATGGTAGCCGTTTGGACGAGCTCAACACCTTGTTCTGTGTGAGTCGAAATTTCAGAGGATAACTATCATGTGGACGGCTTTTTTTTTTTTTTTTTTTTTTTAATTGGAAAGAAAATCTCCAAATACTGTATTTATATCTGCCTTCCACTGCCCCCATCTGGCAAGCATCTCAGTCGACAATAGATAGCAGCAATGTGGTACACAGAGTATTTTGCACTTGGGGAAAAAAAAATTATGTATCTGAACTTGTAAAAAGGAATGTTTGGATTTTGTATTGTCTTTTTTATATTATTAAAATACTAAATGAAACACTGAGGTCTAGCATGCTTCTCCTCTACCTCAATGGCTTGTCCCATAGCTAGTAGGGGGGCAGGAGGGGTAGGGATCTTAAACACTCAAGTGTCTCCTCACTGCCGGACAAGACTGGCTCCCTCCTCCCACACCTCACCTTATTCCTGATGATTTAATATCTGGAAATTCCTGTTCCTGTCTGTCTTTAAAGGCAACATCAGGAACTTCCCCTTGCTGAGCATGGCAGCCAAGGTCTTTAATAGCAGTATTCAGGAAGCAGAGGCAGGAGGATCTCTTTTAAGTTTGAGACCAGCCTGATCTACATAGTGTCGGGCCAGCCAAAGATATAGAATAGAAACTGGTCTTAAAAAAAAAAAAAAAAAAAAAGAGTGTGGGGGGTTGGGTGGATATTTATAGTTTTGTGCTCCTAGGCCATAGGCCTGGAGTGACGACGGCTCAGCAGTTCCGACTGTTCTTTTCAATGGAACATGGCCTTGGACACCAAAGTTCTGAAACACAGGTTAGGTCGGCTACTACCATCATCACACTGCCTATAGGCCGTGGCAAGCGGTTCCCAACACACCAGCCTCAGGTGACTCACTTCTAGTGTGACTTGAGGAGCAAGGGGGGAGTGGCCTGAGCTGAGCAGTTATTTGGGTTGGCTCACTGGAGCCCTGAGCTTTCTTCTTGACTGTAATGAAGACAGGTGGAACCACTCCGGGATCACTGAACGGCCATTGTGTGCCAAGCAGTGCTACGTGGCTGTCTTTGCTCTACAAGAGCCACCACGCTCAGAGTTCATACACGTGACTTTGTAGTTCTACCTGACTGTCCAAACAGATTTCTCAACAAGGGAGAGGATCCGGTCCACTGGTGGCTAGAAGTGTAAATGCACTAGCATTCTATTGAACATACACTGACTTCCTGTGAGTGTGATTTAGTGTGATACAACTTACGTTTCGAGAACTGTAAGACAGAACCAGAGCCAGGGTCGCTGCTGCACAGCAGCTGAGAGCTGTCGTCTGACACCACCCTCTCTGACCTTTATCACTTGTAGCTCAGTGGCCTAGCATGCACGGGGCTTTGAATCTGGTTCCTACTATCAAAAGAATAAAATTCTACTCCACGAGAGCTTCCTCGTCAACTCTTCGGACCTGAAATGTTTTAGAACCATTGCTTTGGCTGGGTATAGTGACACACACCTTTGATCTCAGCATTTGGGGAGAGAGAGGCAGGAAGTCCTGTGAGTTTGAGGCTAGCCTCATCTACCTAGACTCTAACGTGCAAGTCGGCCGAGGCTCTGTGTTGAGATGCCTCTCTTATTACTTATCCCTTCAGACAGGTTTCTGAGTCTTTGTTAAATGTGTGATGGGGGAGGAAGTGGAACCGAGTCCCATATCTGCAAAGAAGAGATGGATGTCCATCTCGTAAAAGGCGGCGGAGCTGAGCAGACACGAAGGTTCATTCTGAATTCTAGTATTTTTAACTCGCCAGGCAGCTAAAATCGACGCTGAATTTTCTCATTTGAGTATGTGAGTGCATTTGTGAGCGTGCTTGTGTATGTAAGCACGCTGTGTGTGAGCGTGTGTGTGTGTGTGTGTAAGCCCACTACTGTGTGCTTTTGGAGTTCCGAGGACAACTCGGGGAACAGGTTCTCTTTTTCCACCCCGATGTTGACCTCTTGACCCTCCTGGTTTCACCTCCCCCGTGCAGAGGATTAGTTATACACCACTGTGTCTGGCTTTCTTGCTGTATTTCTAGCCAATAATCCACGCTGTAAAACCCTGGAAAGGTCCGGTGCCTGTTGTGCGAGGTTGGCAGGGATGGCTCTTACTGGGGAAATTCCAGTACCACTCTGAGACCTAAGGATTAACAGGCTCCTGCCAAGGCTCCGCCCCCAGGCTCCTGCTAAGGCTCCTCCCCAGGCTCCGCCCCCAGGCTCCGCCCCCCAGGCTCCTGCCAAGGCTCCTCCCCTTTCATCTGCTTATTTTTAGCTGGAAGCTCATTTTCTCTCTAGTTTCTGAAAATCTCCTAAATCACAATTCCTTCCTGCTTGGAAGAGAGACGATTAGGAGACTTTTAAAGTTTGGGCGCCAGGTGTGAAGACGGGACAAGAGGATCACAAGTTCAAGGCCACCTTGGGATACATAGTCAAAAAAAAAAGAGAGAGAGAAACAGAGAAAAAAAGAGAAAAAACAGAGAAAAAAAGAGAGAGAGATGGAAAAACAGAGAAGAAAAGGGAGCACTTGGTTTTGTTCTTCAGATTGCTACTCTATCAAGGGAAGCAGTTTGTTTGGAGGGGGCTGATGGAGAAATGAGTGAGCCCCCAACAACCCGTCCCTCAGGGGTCCCGACCATCAGCATGTCATCTCTCAGGGAAGGCAGTACTGTACGATTATTCCTCCAGCAACCGCTGTCAGGGAACCTTCCTTCAGAGGTGAGCATCCCTCTGGGAGATGAGTTCAGCCTCAGGGCCTCAGGGCCCTTAAGAGACAGGAGGGGCTCGCATCCCTTATAAACACTCATGATCCCCAGGGCACTGTGCCCCACAACACGGGGGACAAAGGCCAGTACTGCGGGGAGCATTGTCAAGCAGGAAGGACTGTCAGGGCGCCATCCTTCATAATGCTGTCCCCTCCACTCCATCCCTCGGGCATCTTCCCACAAAATGCAGGGAGGATTGTCCCTCGGGGTGCAGTCCTTGCGGAAGGAGCATCTCTCAGGGAGACCGTCCACAGGGAGGACCATCCCTCAGTCCCTCCATTCCCTCATGCCCTCAGGGTGCTGAGCCCCGGTTCACCTTCTGTCCCAGCGCGTCCCTCGGGGTGAAGTCCCAGGGGGAGATGACTGTCGGGATGTCATCCCTCGGGGAGCCGCTGCACAAGGCGCGAGGAGGACCGTCCCCCGGAGCCCCAACCCCTCCAGGCTCCTCGTCACCGTCCTTCGCAGTAACCACTTAGAGATACCTGCCACGGCTTCCTCCGGAGCAGCCCGCGGCGGAGCGATTTCCCCGTTGCTATGACGACCGCGGCTTCCACCCGGCGTCCTGACGTCATCACGCCCTCCCCGGGCGCCGGGGGCTGGAGAGGCCGCGTCACCCGGCGGGGCCAGCAGTGAGAAGAGCGGGGCGGAGCTCCGAGGCTCGCCTGAGGACGCTCGGCGGCCTGGGCTCCGGGGCCCGGGAACCGGGATAAGCAGGCCGGCCGCCGCGGCGGAGGGGGGCGGGCTGGAGCGTGGCCCCGCGCTGGTCATCCGGGTTCCGGGGCCCCGGCGGAGGCCGCGCCGGGAGCGAGAGGGAAGTGCGGCCGCCCTGGAACCTGGATATCGCGCGAGGCAAGCCGCGCGCGGGCGGGCGGGCTATGGCGCAGGCGGGTTGCGGGGCCGGCGCTGGTGGCAGGGCCCGGTGCATGGCGGTCTGTCGGCGGAGTCGCCCTCGGGGGCTGTCAGGTTGGTGGCCGCGGGAAGAGTGGGTCCACCGTGCCCCGAGGCGGGAGGCCGGGCGGACGCGGGGCCCCGGGAAGGTCCCGAGCCCGTCGTGCCCACCCTCCTCCGTCCCTGGCCTGGCGGCTGGGCCTCTCTGGACGGCGGCCTGACCCCACCCCCACCCAGGGTCCCTGCCCCTCTATCCCGCCCTAAGACTCCTCCCCCAAGGACTCCCAAACCCCACCCCGTGTTCGCGCCCGCCTCCTCCTCCTTGACCCCCATATACACACACCTCATCCCCCTGACCCCAGACCTCACCAGGCGACCCCTGATTCATTGAGTGTGCTAACCCCAGCCCTGCTTCCGGACCCATCAGTCTCAGTTCAGATACAATCATCACACGGCTTCCAACATCCCCGTAGTCCCTAGTGACCCCTAAACTACCCTCTGTAAACCCCCTTTAGTCTTCTCCTGCCTACTGCAAACCAGACTCGGGGCTGTTTCCCCACCCACTCATCCACATAACTCGTGATCTTCGCCTGTAACACCATGGTCATCTCCCTGACCCTACTGACACCCCTCTTTGCCGCCCCACTCCCAGCCTCCAGTGTCAATCAGCACATACATAACTTAAGCCTCCCACCACCACCACCACCGTTGTAATGCTTAAGAGTAAATGGAGATGAAGGTTCAGTTGCGTTCTGGATTGAGTGTGTGGTTTCAAGTTCAGAGTCTATCACGTTTGGCTTGGGGAACCTTTGGCAGACGTCCTTTCCTTACGGTGGACTTGAGTTTCTGATCAGAACTGTGACGAGAGATTGCGTTGTGGTGATCTTATTAAAGTTCTGCAGTTCTTAGTCAAGACAAAAATAGCAAACTTTTTCGTACCCTGCCCCAGAAATGTAGTCCTTGTAACCTCACCCCCAGGATCCACTTGACTCTACTGAACGGTTTTTCTTCATTCCCGTGACCCGGCACTGAACTGTGGGCACTGTCTCCCTTGATTGGTCTCTCTCAGTTTGTAAAGCAATGTAGCACAGAGTTTTCCATTGGGATGTTGACATCATGAGCTTGGCCCTTCGGCTGGTGGAACTTTTGGCCTAGCGTCTGAAGCCTTTTTGACCCCTTAGTCTCCACTCTGCCAAGGGAGGGTGGTAAAATGTCTGAGGTAACACGTGCGGAACATTCAGGACCCTTGCTGGTCCACAGGAACCCTTTAAGGTAGAGCAGTTGATTTTAATGAAGGTCTAACTGTACTGGGTGCTGGGGACACCACAGACCACAAGCACATGGCCCTTACCAGTCACTACTGCTGCCATCTTGGGATTCCTGTGCCCATCTCTGTTGAATGCTTCTCATCTCTCACTTGGACGTTTCATAGCTCCTTAGTAATGATCCCCCTGCCCCAGAAACTACTGTATGCCAAGCTTTATTTATATAGATTAACTTGACCTCTCACAACCCTGAGGTATTAGCTCTTTCTGTCACCACTCCCTCCCTGCCTTTTCCTGAGTGTTGCTTTTAATAAAGGAATCTGGAATTCATACATTTGAACCAACCATCCCAGAAAACCCACCCACTCCATTGTCATA